CTCTTTCCGACATTTCAGAGTGAAACTACATCAATTCTATTTATACATAATCCAGATGACAGAAGAAAGTAATTCTAAACTCTCTTTACCTCACTGTTCTTATTGGCCTTTCAGTAAGGACAATACAGGCAAAATCTCAAGCTGTCTCAACTCTTCTGCAATGACAGGAGCTGTAGGTCACTAGAACTCATTCAAGTGGATAGATAGAGTGCTAAAGAATTGAAAGTCCACCAATGCTGACGTCTGGTTATGAAAATACAATAAAGTCAAGGTTGTAAATGTCTCAGATAAAGAAGAGAGGATTTCAGCTATTCTAAAGAAGGACAATGAGGTAGAAGAACAGTAGGGAAAACATGTTTTTGTGATGGAAAATGACGAGACAAGACAAGACAGAAACAGATCAATTCAGTCTTTTAAATAAAGATGATGACAGGAAAAGAAGAACAAGAAACACTAAGCAGTTTAGGAGAAAAATAGGAAAGTAAGGTGGAAAGTTCAAGGAAAATGGAGAAAGAGACCCTAAAAAGTTAAAATTACTGAAGTTATTTACTAGGTCAATATAAAAATGTTTATACATCTACTGGTGGTGATAAAAGCTATAATAAATAATCATACATTTACTCTACTTACTCATCTTCCACTGACTTACTTTTGCCTCATTTTTTTGAGATACACATCTCTCTTGCTTGGCACATTGCTTTAAGAGAACACCCATCAAGCCGTAATAAAAACCAAAACATGCAACCATTGTTGTTTTGTACTACAAAATGGGGGGGTTTGCAATGTTTATCCATTACTATGACATTTCTGAATCTCTGAATTTACTTTAAATAGCACCTACTTTGAATGACACCATTTTCAAAATGGCCTTTCAAAGAAAGTTTCCCCCCGCTTCAAGTTACATTGTTCAAGTTACATATTCCTTAATCACTTATAGATTTCAGACCCAGGATCTTGAAATCAATCTGGACTATAAAAATCTAAAACTGTGGTGTAAGATACTGAGCATTTTTTTCAGTCCTGAGAGTTCCAGCTGCAAGTCTGAGACTATGTTTTGCAAAGAGTTTTCAGACATAGGAGGTTTTGAGCATTTTAGATTACTTACACCTTTTCTTTCCTTCAAAGTTCTGTGCATTAGGATTTTTGGCAATAGGAAACTAGTCTGAACAAGAGTAAGAATGGAAACAAATTTCTAATAAAATACTTCAAGAAAAAAACAAAAGGCTTCCAAACCTCTTGTAAAGACTCTAAAATATGGCATTTACAGAACGTAAATTTTGTGATGCTATTTGGACATTTTCCTTTTGAAGTCTGAAACCTTTCAGAAGTTTTAGCAGTATGACAATATGTGCAGTCACAAGCCTGCTCTAATAAAGTCTCTATACCACTTGCTTTTTCCACTCTTATTACATGTACTCTAACACAGGTGAGCAAGCACACATGAGTTCTGAATAAGACACGTGAAGACTCATGAAGTTTGAGTTTAACCAGCGTATGTCATAAAAAAATAAACTGAAGACACAGTCCATAGGAATGTTTAATATACTGGCAAAGACAGACACCTTTTTGAAGTTTGCAAACACATATTCATCTGCTGTGAAGCACTTTAAATGCATATTTTCATGGCACACATGTATTTCCAAAATAAGTATTCAGCAGGTTTTTAAATACCTAACTCATTCTTATTTGCTGAACTGCCAAGTACCCCTTCGTGTTGAGTTTGAGTCTGGCTAGGTTTTTGGTGATGGGGGGCCTATGGTGGTGACTCCTTCAGAGAAACTTCCAGAGCTTTCCCTAGCCCTGGAAACCATCCAGACGCACCCATGGCTAAGTCCAGGCCAATCAGTGCCTCTGTGAATCAATATAGCCAAAAGTGGAAACCTGTTGCTGGAGCTTTTCCTTTTTTTTTTGTCTGTTAAGGTCTCTGTTTCTGTTTTGGAGAGGAGGGGATGGTGAGAGAAGAGCAAACACATGGTCGGTGAAGAAGGAAGGGAGGAGGGCACCAGAGCAGGATGTTCCCCAGAGGCCTGTGGTGATTGTGGACATTGTGGATTGAGGAGATCGGCAGCAGAAAAGACGTCCAGGATGTGTCCCGTGGAGGACCTCAGGCCAGGGCAGAGAGAGAGCATGGGAGCAGAGGACGCACCTGAAGAGGATCATGACTCCAAAGACGACCTGAGCTGGAGCAGGGACACAGCAGCCCACAAGAAGATCCCACAGTGGTGGGATGGACTCAAGGGGAGGATGAGGATTGTCTCCCGTGAGAGGGACACCACATGGCAGTTAGGGAAGGCTGTGAGGAGCCCTCTGCCCAAAGAAGACACACAGACAGCACTCCAAAACCTCTGCCCTCCTGTGGGGAAGAGGTAGCCAGGAAGGGGCAGCGGGCGGAGTGGGGGGAGCGGAGTGGGTAAAATATCTTTGTCTATTCTCTATCCTGCTCTACTCTAGTTGATTTCACTGAACTAAATTAAATTTATGTTTGTTTTCACCTCAAGTCGGCTCTGTTCCTTTTGCTCATAACCGTAAGTGGTGAGTGAAACCGCACCCCCATCCTAATCTCAACCTTTAAGCCTTTTTGTGGCATCTTCTCTCTCCCCATCTCTAAGCTGCCAGTGACAGGGTTGGGATGAGTGAGCAGCTCTTGTTCCTGCTGGGGCAGGTTCAAACTCTGACACCCTTCCTCTAGATTTTCCACAGAAAAATTTTTGGTTTCTATTCTGCATATACCATTCTCCATAATCGAAGACTGCAAAAGCACTGACTGATGAGGTTGCAGAACACTCACAACACTTTAGTTCTGAAAAGCATACATACCCAACAGCCAGAGAGGGAGGAAAAACAGCCCCACCCATTATTTAACGCTGTGATAACTCCAAAGCTGTATCTGTCAGGTGTCTCCACATCTCACCTGGGTGAGTTCTGAAACTCCCCGCTGATGGTGATTCTTAATCGCTCTTACAGGAAGTTTTCTTTAAGTCCCATCAGAATTTCACTGACATAACTTGTGACCATTACTTTTTGTGCTTTTGTTATGCACCTCTCAGGAGAGAGTCTGGTTCTGTCTTCTCCACGATCATTCAAGTCACAGAACAGGCCACATCAGAAATCTCTCCTAAGTTTTCTGCAGTTTAAAAGCACTGTTTTGTTAACTGTATGCATAACTAGCAACATACTTTCCATCCTAATTTGGCATCAAATTGTTCAACTGAATACTTCACAACATCTCATAAACAATGTAAAGAATACAGTAAATACTGTAAGGAATACAGTATTGTCACTGGAGGAAATCCTACTTCTAGCTCTTTATGAAACATAACTGCTTTGGAGGGTAGACTGTGTAAGAAGATTCTGCTTTAATTGTTTTTAATTTCAATTTACTTAACAGAAGCAAAGAGCATGTTCCCCATCTGTTTTAAAGTCAAAGAACCAGAGAGCTAAACGTTTAGATATCTTTTTTTCCTCCATTATTAATGCTATAATTAAACAGAGGAGAACACACATGAATTGTAAAGCTTGGTAATGTGTAATAGATAAAGAGTTAAGGTTTTATCAGTCCCAACACTGGAATACTCAACAGAAGTGTTGACTCCTGACTAAAAATGAAGATGACTTAAAGAATGGAAGTGTTTGAGGAACATATACGTCAAATCTTTCTGCTGAAACTGATAGCAAGGGTATATTTCTACTCAAAAATGTGACTGAATTGTCCTAGACTGGCAATATTTGCTTCAGGAAGATACAGATAAGATTGAAGAAATGCAGCTGTGTAATTCTTTTGTTAACTACCACTTCAATGTTAACTTTTTTAAAAATAAGGAATCAAGTACACATACACAATGTGTAGGAAAGCCTAAACTGG